TACCTATATGAAGCTACTGAGGTGAACAATGTACCTATATGAAGCTACTGAGGTGAACAATGTACCTATATGCAGCTACTGAGGAAGGAAATTTACGAAGTTACTGAGGTGCTAACCTTTGCTTTTATGTAGTCACAGATGTCGTAACGTCGCCTGGTCACTGGCTGATGCCCAGTAAAAGATTTTTATAAAATCCAACAGAAAGTCAGCAAAATTTTGCAAACATCCCATTGTCCTCATTGCAGGCATATTATATGAAATGTATTCCGATGCATGCCTATACATTCATATATACCTATACATTCATATATACCTATATTCAATTTCCTTTTGGTATATCCATGCTTTCATTCATTTATTCGTTTTCTATTCTGCTATTCTTTACAACCATGTTTAATTCGTTTGTCTGTACGTGGGCTCTGCTATGCAGGTGGCAGAAAAGCTGAAACTGGCAGCAAACACGGCTGAGGACATTGAGCGCACGCGCGACGGCTACCGACCTGCTGCTAAACGTGGCGCCATCTTGTTCTTTGTCCTGTCAGAGATGTCAGCGATCAACTCAATGTACCAGTATTCGCTGGCATCCTACCTCGAGGTAAAGCGCTATCGGTCGCTTCTGTTGTGCTCTATACATTCCAGTGTCTATAGACGTGTGTACTGTTACTGTACTGTATGTGTGTGTGTGTGCGAGCGTGCATGCATGCGTGTGTGCGTGCGTGTGTGTATGTGGAATAAGTTCTGAGGTATAGTGCATGTTTACCTTACCATCTGCGTTCACTGCGTCCTCTCCGTGTCTACGTGGTAACAAATGATTTAACGTGAACATAAACACGTGTGCTTGTTGCATGTATTATGCGCTCAAGCAGTGATTTCGAATCCTTCCAGGAATGAAAAAAGGGTTTCATTTAAAATAAATTTGTCGATGTATACATTCTGCAACAATATACGCACCACAAATAAGCAAAAATATGACACAATATTACATTACTGTGATTATTGCACTTTACAATGCTATGTAAGCAATTAAATATTAAGGGAATTAAGTTATATCTGGAAGCGTCATCCCTGGTCATAATGGCCAGCAAGTGATAGAGAAAAAATAAATACATAATAGATATGTTTACTGACAGGATGCTGTATGCTATATAATTATGTTGACAGGATGCATATTACTGAGTATATAATATTTTTTACGTCTACAGGTATTCCAGCACTCATTGCAGAAGAGTATGCGTGACAGCATTGTTCTGAAGCGATTGAAGAACATCATGGACACCCTCACGTATAACGTCTACAGCTACGGCTGCACAGGTGTGAAGGCTAATTATGAAGATTGTAATGAGATGGAAGTTAACAGCCGACACCATGCAGGATTGTCATGCTGTCACTAGCGCTCATAGGGTCTATGTCCCCCAGGGTACTGCCGGAACGTACCCTGGTACTATCTAATAAGGCTGAGAGGGTCTATGTCCCCCAGGGTACTGCCGGAACGTACCCTGGTACTATCTAATATGCCGGACCGTACCTCGCCTACTCCACTAACGAGTCTATGGAGTCGCCTACGCCCCTACTCCCTAACCATAACCCTAACCCTAACCATATCAGATAGTTACCAGGGTACGTTCCAGTATACCGGACCGTACCCAGGGTACGTTCCGGCAGTACCCTGCAAGACATAGACCCTATGAGCGTCACTAGCATGCACTCACTATAATCCACGACTGTGGTGTTAGTTGTTGGCAGGATTATATAGAGATATAGATTATATAGAGTGTCAGTTTATGTGATAGATAATTCAGAGAATCATATTAAAAATCCAAATGGCAAGATTTTCGCAATTTGCCTGAACGATTCAATAGTGTGTGAGTCTGCATGCCATACTCGTCGTTGTCTTGGTGACAGCCCGATCTGACAATTTTACGTCTGTAACAGGTATCTTTGAGAAGCACAAGCTGCTATTTAGCTTCCAGATGACCATTAAGCTTGAGCAAAGTGAGGGCAATGTCTTGCAAGAGCAGCTTGACTTCTTTATCAAGGGCAACATCTCCCTGGAAAAGAGTACCCGTCTAAAGCCATTTAGGTAACATGCGACCTTTTTGTTTACTCATACGCAGCTGGTAGTCCTACCAATTCAATTGTTTCATTTGTACTATCTCTTCACTAGTCTAAAGTTGGGACAGTGATGTATTGTGTGTGGATTCCAGGTGGTTGCCTGACCAGAGCTGGGAGGATGCTGTCTGCTTGAATGAAGCATTCCCTGATAAGTTTGGCAGCCTTTGTGATGACATAGAGCACAATGAGAATATCTGGAAGGAGGTATCGGCTTGAGTAATAGCTTCCGTGTCTTCCTTGCACCAGCAAAGTCATTATGATAGTAGTGTCTACACTCAGTGAGGGTATAGTTACGTGTCATGTGTGAGTACTTTGAAGCAGTGCCAGTTTATTGTGGTACCATCAAAGGCAGTAACTTGGTATTTGACGCAAATATACAGTTGAAATGTGTCATGTATGGGTGAGTACTTTGAAGCAGTGCCACATTATTGTGGTACCATCAAAAGCAGTCACTTATATTTGACGCAAATATTCAGTTGAAATAATTTTTTTGTCAGTGGTATGACCTGGATGCGCCGGAGGCAGCAGCATTTCCTCTCAAGTACAGCGAGAGCCTGGGAGACTTTGAGCGGCTGATGCTGCTACGCTGCTTCCGCGTCGACAGGGTGTATCGTGCTGTGACAGACTATGTTACACACCGCATGGGCGAGAAATACGTCACGCCTCCCGTGATCAGGTGGGATGACGTGCATTGCAGGGTTCTTGTAACACGCTGGTGGTTTCGGTACATCAATAACGTAAACTTAGATGTAACATAATAATTGCGTATTTTAGGTATAAATGCTGCAAATATTTTACTTTGACTGCCTTTCAGGTTTCCTTGTTTATTTCATGAGATGAACTTGAAGACAAGTAGTAGCATTGCTGTTGGCAACATACATCCTCGGCTAACGAATCACAATACGAAACAAAACTCTCCTTGCTTAATGTCATGATACGCATACATGGTCATAGTAAAAAATACATCAGTACGTGCTATGAAGAGGATGATGGTGATCTACTTAAAGATGGAGGTCACAGTCCAATGCTTTTCATGCCATGGATAGACGTACCAACTGAGAATATTTTGTATTTCACCTGTAACCTAGTGTTATTTTAACTAAATAGATTGTTGCGTGAAATGTATTTCTACAAATATGGCTGCCCAGTGACTTTTTAGCTCTTTAGTTGTCGTGTCATTTTATATCGATGACCTCTGTTTTTCTGTTGGTTCCAGCTTTGAAGCCATATATGAACAGAGTTCGCCACAATCACCAATAGTTTTTATTCTAAGTCCTGGGTCTGACCCAGGCAGCGACCTTACAAAGCTAGCAGAAAGAGCAGGATTCCGTGACAACAGGCTCAAGTTCCTTGCAATGGGCCAAGGACAGGAAAAGGTGATTGTAAAGATGTTTCTTTTATGCTTTATAGTGCGTTACCTCCGTTTGCTAGCAATGTGTAAATGCATACGAAGTTACGAACCTTACGAACATATAAAGTTAAGAAGTTGCGTTTGTATTGCCATATGGAGTTTTGTTATCTTAATCATTTTTTGACAGGCCGCACTGCAACTACTCGACACGGCAATTTCTCGTGGGCAGTGGCTTATGCTTCAGAACTGCCATCTGTTGGTAAACTTCCTCAAGGACTTAGAAAAACAGCTAGAGAAAATCACAAAGCCACATCCAGATTTCCGTCTGTGGCTTACCACTGACCCAACTCCAAGCTTCCCTATTGGCATTTTGCAGCGATCACTGAAGGTAAGCCTTTCGAAACTACTTTTATGAGTAACTTTCATCTGTGGAGAAAATCATGCATTTCTGTTGGTTTTGCTTTCTTGTGCAGCATTCTGATTCCTGCTGAGATCAGCAGACAGATATGCAGGCTGATTTCCATGCTTCCTTACTGTTGAATGCTTCCTAATTGTTTGATACTTCCTATTGATATGACAACTTGAGGACTTTCGTGTCACGTTGGTGTATGAATTTCGCATTTACTCAGTGATATGCATCGGTGAGTAACCTTGCCATGTTCCTCCAGGTAGTCACTGAGCCCCCCAATGGCTTAAAGTTGAATTTGAGGAACACCTACTTCAAAATCTCACAGAATGCCTTACAGGAGTGTGAGCATCAAGCCTTCCCATCACTGGTGTACGTGCTGGCATTCTTCCATGCTGTTGTGCAGGTATGGTGAAATTCAAGCAACAGGGCTAGTTAGTAATAGTAAAAGTAAAGTAACTTAGTTAGAAGTAATAACATGTGTAGTATATGGATTTCGGAGCGGTAAAGGCAGACCGTCAGCATATGCGACACTTAACTTCTTACATATACCATATTAAAATGTCTTTTCAAGAGTACAGTAATACCGAATACCCCACATTACGGACATTATGCGTAATTCTATAGTCTGAATCACGCTTTCCCATGGACTTCTATTGCATAATTTAAGATCTACCAAAAAAGTAGATGATCCTATGTGTTCTCTATTACAAGCACATTTGTGACTGCAAGTAAACACATATATTGAACATTTAATGATGTAACACGCTTAGGGAAATCCAGAATAAGAATAATACAGTGTACTAATTATAATGCTTGAATGCAGCACACTGACTGTGACTGATTGACAAACATATATTGATTATTTAATGATATTACAATCAAGGAATTTAGAATAAACATTAGTACCCTGTTGTACCTGGAGTACAATAGACACAGCTAGGGCACTGATTACAGGAATGCACGCATTCCATACAATTTGAACGTGTAGGTATTTTCCTCTAATGGACAGAAAACTATCTAACCAGATGGTGGCAGATTTAAAAGCTGGTCTGCCTGACATGTTGGCAGCTTGCTTTATATGTATTACATTAATGTCATTGACAGCATTTGAACATACAAAGTTTTTGGGCAGAAACATGCAATCAGTATTTTGAAGTTTGTGTAAGAGCGAATGTTCGTTTCGTACGCATTTCAAGTTTAGTGGTTATAATTTACAAATTACGTACGGGCGAGTTTACATAACCAAGGTTATCATAGGATGAGGTATCACTGTATTAAAACATTTGTACTTGGTTTAATATTTTCAACAGCAATTATATTATAACAGGTATTTCTTTAGTACAAATACGATTTTTTTAATAATAATTTATCCTAACTATTTAATTATTGTCATTATTAATAGGAGAGACGCAAGTATGACAAGATCGGCTGGAATGTGGCTTATGACTTTAATGAGTCGGACTTCAGAGTTTGTATGCAAATAATTAATACCTACCTCACCAAGTCGTACAACCAGGGAGATCATGAGAAAATCCCATGGAACAGCTTGAAATACCTTGTTGGAGAGGTGAGGCACAAACACTGCCCTAGTTGCTTATAGCAGTTGCCTAAAGCAGCAATTCCATTGAATTGCATATATCTGCATTCGTAGCAGAAGGTGCATGTAAGCTGCCAGTTGAATCACTGTCAGTTCATAGTCATAACGTCTTACAACGTACTAGTATCACATATCCTGGGACTGATTTCAGATGATGTATGGAATTCATTCCATCAATGATTTTCGACTATTGATCATGCTGCTGATTTCAGGTCATGTACGGCGGCCGTGTCATTGATGATTTTGATAGGCGCGTCGTCAACACGTATATGAACGAATACATGGGCGACTTTATATTCGACACGTTCCAGCCCTTCCATTTCTACAGCAATGATGAGGTCGACTACAAAATACCTGAACCCGGTCTAAAGGAGAATTACATAGGTATAGGTATCATTTAATGTGTCAGACCGACACTAGATTTCAGCATACATTGCATGGTAGCATTCAGCGTACATCTGCACTGGTCTATCTTCACAAGAAAGAGCAAAGAACCTGTACAGTCCCTCCATATACCCAAAGTTGTTTACAATATTAATTTACCTATAGACCATGCACTGTTTTTGCGAGTTCCCTATTCATTATACAGGTAATTATCTTATCAATTGCTATTTGATAATTTGTTTGTCCTATCAGTTGCATTACATAGGGGCTAGTTCTTACCCTATTGATTATATTGTTGGTTGGGTTGTTTATTATCCTATTGATTCAAATTAATTGAACTGTTCCATGCGCTACTGAAACAATTAATGTACATGTACTGTATTTTTCTGTTTTTTGTAATGTTCTGCACCATACATAGTAAATGTGAATGGGATAAAACTGTTAATACATACATATATATATATAGATTACATAGATACGCTGCCACTCTCCAACACACCTGAGGTATTTGGCCTGCACCCCAACGCAGAAATTGGCTACTATACACAAGCGGCCAGAGACATGTGGACTCAACTGGTAGAGATTCAGCCACAAACTGGTATATTGTTGTTTTCCACACTTGTTACTATACTTGGAGTGTAGGGTTACCATGTATTCATATATCCTATATGACCAATCCTAACTTGAACTGGATGGATAGGTCCACCCAACTTCAGCTTACAAGGGGTATACACGATAGATCTCCTACAGTTTCTCCAGCTAACCTCTGATTGCATAGCATAAGCTGACAGTTATCAGCGCAGTGTATAACGGCAATGAATGACCTTATTTGACATAGTGTGCACTCGTGGTGCTGCTATATAAGAATTATTGCATCATTATATAGCAGTCACCAGTATTCGAAACCTAGAGGTCTTGTGGCATGCTACTTACAAAATTAACCATGCATTATCTTTGCAAGCAACATGCCACTCAGATTTATTGTGTTGTCTGTGTCTTGTGTAATAGACTTGATCAGTGAAAAAAATACACGGGGGCTCGGGGCGATTTAGCTCCCGAAATGTCAAAAAGAGCCCCGGAAATGCTAAAAAGAGCCCCCGTAAATTTGCATAAAGTTCAATGCAAACCAAATTTTAGAGTGCTATTTTCATGCACGCAAGCTTGAAAAGTAGCCCCCGAAAAATAGATTAACATTTTTCCCCTGGACTTGATTATATGAACATTGCAGCAATGAAACATTCTTTTTAAAGGCGAATCTGGTACGGGGATCAGCAGGGAAGAATTCATAGGTAAGATAGCAAGTGACATCCTCAACAAGCTTCCAGAGCAGTTTGACCTTGACAAGATTAGGAAGAAGTTTGGTCTGGACATGAGCCCAACCAGTGTGGTGCTTGTACAGGAGTTGGAGCGATTTAATAAGCTTATCGAGCGCATGAAGAAATCCCTCACCACGCTGAAGAAGGTATAGCCATCGAGTAGAATAACTGTAATTATGCAAATTACTACATTTCGGTGGCACGAGGCTCACCTACAATAGGCTTTATACTTTGTCGGGTAACAAAAAGGTCGTGCATAGGAATAGAGTGCATGCAGCTACGTATCTTGTTGTTACCATTACTTTGTAATTCCAACTAGGCCCTGGCAGGAGAGGTTGGCATGAGTAACGAGCTTGATGATGTCGCTCGGGCGCTGTATAATGGAACCATCCCCCGTATCTGGCGACGCTTGGCACCGGACACACTCAAGTCACTCGGCAACTGGTTGCTGCATTTCCACCGCAGGCACGCGCAGTACACTTACTGGGTGCGTTCCACTCGGCTATCCGATCGCGTCTTCTTTGGTTCTCAAAGTTTTTCCCGATTCCCTAAACGCTGCACCTAGCTTGATACTGCTTTTATAGGTAAATCGTTCTTATTCATCATAACTTGTGCTCTGCTGAAGTGCCAGACATCTTCAAGGGTCCTGGAAATCTAGCACGCACAAATTACAAATTTTCTTTTTTTATCAAACAGGTGAATGAGGGTGAGCCTGCCGTCATCTGGTTATCAGGTTTACAAATTCCTGAATCGTACCTTACTGCCTTAGTACAGGCGACATGCCGTCGCAATGGATGGCCCCTAGACAAATCCACACTTTACACAACAGTGACAAGTTATGCGACTCCAGATGATGTACAAGAAAAGGCTCATCAAGGTACCATTTTCCACGTAGTATATATGTACCAGTTACAGCATTATTATCTACCAGGTAAAGGGAAGTGAAAGATGCTGTCAATTAATGCTATCAAGTTATAACTAAGCCTAATACACTACTGTGTACATGCATGTATCTATCACCATATAGTTCTTGGCTTTCACAGCAAATGAAATTTAATGAGTTACCTCATTAAATAGTTATTAAATAATATAATAGTTATTAATATAATATATATATTTAATAGTTATCTCATTTATCCTGCATAGGATGCTATGTGACAGGCCTGTACCTTGAGGGAGCTGCGTGGGATATAGAAAACAATTGTCTTACTGGTTCCCAACCCAAGGAGTTGATACAGGAACTGCCAATTCTGAAGGTCATTCCTATTGAGGCACACAAGCTCAAGCTACAGGTTGGTGTCGTTCAGTAATCGGTTAACTAATAGTTTAATTCTAGTACATACTACAAAAGAGTAGCGTGAAGTCTTCCCTAGCATTACTATCAGTGACTGTTATGCTTATTATTTCCATTAATTACCAGGGTTCCTAATAACTGGACTATTTTCTTACAATCGATACCATCTAAACTCATTTAATGTCATTATCATGTTTAGTGTAATATTTCTGTATTTATTATCATGGTCACAACCATTATCATTAGTATGATAGCCATTAGCTAAAAGCTAAAGTAAAAGCTATTGTTAATCTTATATGATAACTGATATTGTTAACCGGTTTAACCATCAATCAGTATAGTGAGAAATCAGTATAGGCACGCATAAACTAGTGTGCATGGCTCCTTTCATGATATGTCGAATGTGATGTTGCATCTGACTATAGGGGATGCAAAAATATCACCACCACAGCTTTTGCTTAATTAGTTACGATAGGTAGGCAGCTTGATGTGTTTGTATAGCAGCTTTGAAGCCAACCAATACTTATGAAAGTTAAAATATTGGTAAAGTATATTATGTGCGTTGCTTACAGAACACACTGCGTGCGCCTGTCTACACAACATCGATGCGGCGAAATGCGATGGGTGTTGGGCTGGTGTTCGAAGCAGACCTGGCCACGACGCAGCACATCAGTCATTGGGTGCTGCAAGGTGTCTGCTTGCTTCTCAACACGGACTGAATCACCAAGCAAGGACTACCAAACTACACTACCACTGCCAGACTGGGAAAGCTGGTGTGGGGCAGGTGCCAACTCAATCCCTCCAGTGCATTGTAACTTCGTGATGGAGCAGTTAAGGGAGGGGAGATGTTCATAACTTGTGATTTTTGTGGGGGTTTTTATTATGTAAGTAATTTTTGTATATATCGTTCAGTTGGGATTGTAAATTTTGATGTGGATAATCCACTTATGAGGGTATGATAGGTGCTTCTGATGTGTGATCTGAAACTTCATTGTGAATTTATTCCTTCATTTCCTAAAACATTTTATATGAGTATTTTTCATAGATAATTTTTGTATATGTAATAATAATCGGGTAGTGGAAATGTGTATAGGGCGAGTAGCACACAATGTGCCAAATATTGCTGCAACCAACTAGTGTTACGACTGAAGCCTTTCGTCATGCATAGATGGTTCGTAACTTATGATTCCCTTTTCATGTATACCTGATTTTTTCATAATACTCCGAGAAGGATAGAAAAGGTGCTAAAGCATGCTAGTTGTGGGAGGAAGAATGATACACATAAGTCGTAGGTAATCTGACCAAAGTACCTCAATGGTATAGGCCAAGATGCAGTTCACATGATGTCAAGCCAATTCTAGTGTCACACATCTTGAAATTTTGATGTGTATAAGCACCATCATCTGTCATAGAACACACCTCAAGGCAACGAAGTTCACATCTATTATAGCTATTGTGCAATGATTTGTTTCCTGCATATTTGAATTCAATAAAAAAAATCCCCTAAGTGCCAAATTGAAGCTTCCAAATTGAAGTAGTATATTGCTGTTTCTCATGTGATTCAGTGTAAAAATGCAGTAAGTGATAAAAATGCACATGAACTTTGCACGATTTGATTTTACATAACACCGAGGGCACAAACCTTGTGCTTTTGATGACATGACATAAGGTAGAACCCAGCACTAAGTCATCCCACATTATGCGATCATCACTTGGTTTCTCTTTCTCCTCTGTTCTCACTTACTCTTTCAAACTTAACATTACACTGCTATAACGTGACCATGCATATACGGTAATAAAATTGTTGGACCCCACTATCGCATTATAAACGCACACCACTTCTCACATATAATACAAAACAATATGTAACAAATAAACAAAATTATTTTACGGAATTTTCTCTACAAAAAAGACAATTTCAACCATTCTCAGTATACGTACATGATTGCCTATTACTTCCGCGCTCTCGACTTGCAGTTCTCATCGAATTAAACACCTATGCACACGTGAATATAGGTTTATATCATACACACAAAGCTCCCCTCGTAGGTATCAGGCAAGGGAACATAATATGAAGAACACAGACGAGACGAACAGACGCGACTACACTGTGGAAAACTATTTACCAACCATTATCAGATGGGTGCGAGAAAACGACAAAATAGGTATACAACGATATAAGTAGTTCTGCAAGTAGTCAATCAACATTGTACAATGGAAAAAGTGTAGAGCCCATAATACAATTCTGCTTTAAAGGCTGTGCACAAACCTACCAGGCCCTTCTTATAGAAAATTTAGACAGGAAAATAGACAAGCTTTACTTGGCGTGGTATAATAGAATTGTAATTTACAAGTGTCTTGATACGATACTGGCTGGTCCTGCACTCGGAATAATTTATTGTTCGATCAAGCTAAGTGTGGAAACAGGGTAGACGTAGTCACAATTACCCGATTCAGTAGTCTAGAAAACCTAGAGACTGCGCAGATAAGCAGTGGCGTTGCTACAATTAAACACGACTTACTTGTAGTAACATGATAGCGTAGTACACGGGGGGACACCCAGCTGGAGATCAGAGAAGAAAACAGCACCGAGACGGAAATGTATAAAGACATTTGAATCTAGCAAAACCCGCACTGAGCGCAAGTGCTTACTACAGTTGTTTCGCGACTAGGAAACAATGACAACTTGTTGTGACCTGAATACCCAGAGCAGAAAATAATGTACAATATTTACAGCTCATCCCAGCGTTCCCAATCACGCACGCGCGCGCGCACAAACTCGCAAACATGTGTACTTAACAATGAGAGCGCAGTGAAACTGGTGGTCAGAACATTATCTATAAATCACCTGCTGCACGTCTCTTCCCATACACTTTCGACACAGTGACGTGTGGATTTAAATCATGGGATGAATTTTTGTCAAAATTGGCATAACATGGGGCGCAGTTTTTACGCATCGTATAGCTACTCCATGCCTATAGTAGCGCTCAAGCCTAGCGCAGACTTGCGACTTTTGGTTGCTCGTCGCTGCAACCTGCAACCGCATGCGATCGGTCGCACGCTTCACCGTGTGTGCGCATGCAAGCGACTGTCACTTCTTTCCATTGTGTTTCCATGACTTATATTACCCGCACACATGCGATTTCAAAGCGATTGCGAACGAGTTGCTGAAAATCAAACCTGTTTGATTTTTTGCAACTCGTTGCAAGCGACCGGAATCACTACGAGTTGCAGTTGCACGTTCCCGCAGACTTGTGTCTTTTCATGCAACTCGGCTGCGATTCTAGAAGTCTGCGCTAGGCTTTAGGCATTCAAGGCAATTAATTTATTTCTTCTTTAGTATGTCCAAGTTAATCACACACTTAATCACCTACTAGCCACAACAATGTCAGATCAAAACCCCATTATTAATTCCAGTATTTACAATGCAGTATTTGAAGCACTATTATAGCTACTTGGAGCTTGTGAGTTTTTCTGGTGCCAACAAAAGGAATCGTGTAAACTGCGATTAACCTTTCAGTTGGCGTATCACCATTACAGCAAAATACGTTATTCTTGCCATTTTATTCCTATAGCAAAATATTGTTTATATTTTTTCTCCTTAATAGTAGCTGAAGCCAAAACACGTTATACTATTTCAGATTATGTGTGAGGAGCCCAAAATAATACTTGGAAATGGTTCCAAAGGTATGCAAGCCAGTGTGGATTAATTGGGTTTATATAACTGGCACCTCAAAGACTTGTTTTATCTCTTATCTGTGACATGCGGACCAGAATTACAACGTACATTGCTATATGGAATAGAGAATTGATTTAACGACGATTCATAAGAAATGGGTTCTTATTTGATCCGTGAATTTTGATTCGTGATCAGCCACGTTACAGATACTAAAAATTGAAAGGCCTCTTTTTTAACATGCACAAAGAAACATACAATCAGATGCCTGCGTTTTCGAAAGGTTCTATGGATGCTGAAGATCGTTTGTGTAATTAAAACATTAATAAATATTTGTTACAAAAGAATAAACATTTAAGTAACACGTATCGATTACCAAACTCGAAAATGGAATTTCCGAATGCATTCTGCAACTTTTCGTTCTTTTGGTCATTCTTCAATTTTTCTCTTTTCTTATGCATGTTCGACTCTTGTTCTCTGTGCAACTAGGTAAGCAAACTGCGTATTATGATAACAGGCTCTTTGTTGTCTAGATGCTTGGCTTTATGCTAACCTATTCTTACAAAACACAAAGTAAGTACAAAAATGTCTCAAGATACACACTCCGTTACGTCTTACAGGATAAGATGACACCATCAACGAATTTGTTTAGAATCCATCTGGGATCACTTGTCTAGATGGGATATTAAATTATTTTTTTCTGTAAAGGAGAAGGAATTTTTAAATGTGTAGGTACTACCGGCACACTTTCCGCGCAACCTGTTCCACAATATGTGCAACAGGTTTATAAGAAACAACTCTGGCTAAACGCCTTTCGAATCATAGACATAGGCTAACATAACTACGATTTACAGGCATATATCATCGCACACTTCCGTCATTATTAACTTTAATAATTCTATATTTCCTACATTATTTATAATTAATTTTACATAATAACTGAATGTTCTAATACAGCATACGGCTGTATTGATAACGTGCACTGACGACGGCACTACACGCAGACCACAAATGTAGTTTAGGCATAAATATTTTGGTCTAATAGGCTGACCGTCACTGTGCTCTGTCTCTGATAATTATTAAACATGGTATATATACAAAATGTGTGCAGCGCAATTCGGCACAATAGGCGCTCAGTAATGCACCGGTACACAACAGCATCACCGTGTGGCGCCATCTACTGCACAATCACGGCGCACTGTGTCGCATTTCTGCCACTATTGGACGTTACTCTGGAACAATGTCATACAAAACACTATTTCAAATACGTGACTACGATTTTACTTCATTAAAAAAACTCTGGGCCCTCCCTGCCAAAAATAAAAGTGGGCTTCTCCTGTGTCAGGGTACTATGTTACATCGCTTCTTCTGGTGACACTACTATACATATTTCAACGAGCACCGCAATGGTTAAACTGTCAGGCCACACCGCCCCACACATGTAGCAACAGCTTTTGGTCTCTGCAGTAATATACTCACTATTCTCATTCAACAGAATCTTCCTTCCAGATCATTGTCAAGACTCCGGAAGCGTGTACAGAACATTAATTCATATGCCAGTCTAGCCACACTGAAAGCATATTCATCATGCCAACACGACGAGTGTCATCATTAAACGGCTGCTCACTCACACCCAGTCACCCGCAGTGTCGTAGCTGCCCTGCAACCATCAAGAGGGGTCACAGCGGACTGCACAGAACGCCATCTCAGCAACTTCCCAGAGGCACACCTGCAGTGCATGCATATGCAAACACTACACGTAGCAATACATTTAGACATTAAGACGTTCTGTATTTTGGTGGTGGATGAATTACTGTGGCATTTTTTAATATCTTATATAGAGTCTTTGACTGGATTAAGGTACCAGTATATAACTAATAATGCAATGAGGACGATCTAAAATAGTTAAATTCAAAAAGATATTTAATCAAAATGTTACAGTATAAATATAAAGCAATAGATAGCAGTTGCAGATAATTTAGTGGCTAGTGTGTTTATCAAGCTGGTAAGAAAAATAGTGTTCTAAGAAGCCATGAAAATGAGTCATGAAAAGCTTTATAGCTGAATAATTGTCGTTTTGAAGAACATATTTCGATAGCATGTCTCAATATTAAAATATTGTTTACCTCAATCCATACCTTACAATTGCACCCAAACCATAACAGAAACCATTTTGGCCACAAATGCATGGTGACTTTAGTAAATAATGAGCTTTTACACAGTACTACAACATAATTTATGACCGACTACTATACAATATTGAACGGGTGTTCAAGTACACTTCAGTGCATGCTGTTGCCTTCTACAGTCATCCCTCGTATAACATTAGAAAACAACCCACTTGTGATTTGATGAAAATTCTATCGAATAGAAATTTGTTGACTGCAAGCAAGGCAGTTTCAAGACGTCCTTAAGTCATCGCTGGCTGTTACATTTGCATACACTTGCGGCTGTTAGAGGAACAGAGGATGCTCCCACGGGCCGATCTGCAGGGCTTACTGCCGGAACAGTGCGCTTATATCTCCGTCTACCAGACAGTGCGCCTCTAGAGACGTCATCATTTCAGGAAGCTCTTGTAGAGAAGGACAGAACGACAAGTCTCCCTTTCCTGCTCCATCAGAAAAATGAGGTCCCTGAGGTTGACACGCTTCGTACGGGGGCGCTGTGACGGCAGAAAACGCTAATATTAGAAGCTCATCTATGCACGACAATTTCTTTCACCACAAAACTCGATTCAATCGAGATGCACACTCAAATCGGTGTTAGCAGTCATCTCAATCGACAAGTCACCTGTCCATAAAGGACAATGCATTCCCCTCTACTGACCCTTACAAACAGGTTTGATTGTATTCTGACAACGACCGTGCTCCTACATTGGTCACCTGTCAATAAATAACTATAGAGCATTACAGACTCCCATGAGGTTTCCAACTATTTACAGATTCCTCTTCTGAAAAACAATGCACAGAGACCCCTAAGTTTCATCATCAATATGTTAACCTTCATCACTGTAAATTACATCATTGCTTTCAAATGAGCCACTGAACATTCTTATTGCAGTCTCCACAACATATAACTACCATTCATGGTTCACAAGCTAAAAGCCTGATGGACTGGTGTACCCTGAATGTTAATAGCATGAGGCAAATACTTGAAAAACTGGGCAGTGTGTGCAGTTATAGCCTGCTTGAGGGATTCAAAAACTCTGACCACTGACTGCATTGAACAGGTGGCTGCTGTGTACGTTTGAGACGTTGCATTGCATTTTTTAATGGCCACCACAAGCAGGTGGCCAGTCTATAGAGGTGGCTGCTATACACAGGTTTGACTGTAATTGCAATTCAAGCTTCACAGTGCTCACATTGCCACCATTCAAGTTTGTACAAACTGCTCGTACACCTAACAGTAATGCAATCTCCACCTGGAACATTTCAATTTCACGGGAATGTTAAAAACACGTCATTTTCCAAGGTAAGCAGCATCCTATTTATAGCGGCGTCTACACTATAGACTAAAACCCGGGTTAACCCGCGTTTTAGTAAAACGCGCGTTTTCGGTAGTGCAGCGTCTACACTGTCAAAAACCCACCTTCCGTGAATGCCGGGTTTTAAGTATTTCGGTTGTATCAAGCATATCCCCGGTATGGTTGCGCCACCTGTAGCCGAGTCTGGCGTGCAGCTAAAACGCGGGTTTTCTGTCATGTCCTGTCTACACTACGACGCTCGACTAAAACGCGGGTTTTAGCAGAGTAAAACCCGGCAATATTGCCGGGTCTGTAAAACCCGCGTTTTTACAAAACCCACCTCTAAAACCCGCGTTTTAGCAACAGTGTAGATGCGGTAAACCCGGGTTTTAGCAACAGTGTAGATGCGGTAAACCCGCGTTTTAGCAACAGTGTAGATGCGGTAAACCCGGGTTTTAGCATAGTGTAGACGCCGCTCGAGTTACCGGGGTCGGACGAGTGAACGCTTGGTAGCCGTCTGCTACCAACTCGCCGAGAAACGGCGTTACTGAGCAATGCGCAAACAGAAACGCGACGCCAGCTCATCGACTCGTGCCGAGACGTTTCTTACCTGAAACCTTTGCGGTGCACTGCCGGCCGGCGTCGTCCCGCTGGTCCCCGCACTGTCAGACACCTCCGCTTGGTCAAACTTGCGCCGCTTGCGAGGGCCGATCGCAGCGAGAGCCGTCTGATTCGCCTCCTGTTGTCGCAGCACCTCCATCTCTGCTTGTTGCATCTACGCGATCGTGCAAACGACGGTTATCGGCGCAGTTGTAGAAACGTAAAAACATCAAAGCATATAATGAAGGGTTCAACGCTTGACAGCCAACTGATGCCTACCTCTTTGGCCTTTTGTTTTAGCCGTGCTTGCTCTGGATCCTCCTGCTTTGATCGACTCTGAAGTTGCAGGAATAAATAGTAAATACAAATTAGATCATTTTACTAGAATGACAGGCCACAAACTCAACTTCCAGCAACAACAAATGCTTTTGAGCTGCCACTCTACATTGAAAACACCAGGCTTGGAATTAAATAGTATTTCATTTAAAAAACACTATATAAAACGTTTTTTGATTTATAGTTTTTTTACTCCATTATTGATACCAGAAAAGAGTGAATAACATCATATAAGGGTAGCCGTTCTTTCTAAATAGTGTAAAAATGATTTGTATTACAAAATATTTCATTAGACTCCTAGTGTAAATTTGAATATTCAAACGTAACTGTAGACATTGAATAATGCACTCATTTCCAATTATTAGCAAAAAATGCTTGAGATAAAAATCACATTGTTCATAGTTTTTAGTTAAAACACCTTTTAAATAATTTTTTGTGCAACCCCTGAAAAACACCTTGGCTAATCGAAGCAGCATCTCCCGCTCTTGCTCCTCGTGCCGCTTTTTCTCCAATTTATCTAGTTCTTCTAAAAACTTTAACTGAGTTCTAACATTAGTGCTCTCCTTGTAGTGAGTGTCCATCTGTAATGAAGAAGAAATTGCTATTGGATAAACAGACAAGACACGAAGCCAAAATGACAGGAAGCACTAAACACCAATAATGGACTGATAATTAATCAAAAAGTAATCACATTACATATACAAGATGAATAAATTTGAGCAAAATTGTAATAATTATTCTAATAGAAATACCTAATATCTATATACTATAATTAACCTAATAGCATTACCTTCACGGTATCTATTCTGTGCTCTGCTATGAGGCCAAGCTTCTCTATGATCGTTCGAAGTCTCTCCTGTGTCGCGTGTGATACCAAGTTGGCAACATCCGCTGGTGCATCATCTAAACCATGCTTTCTCACTGCAATTGACGCGAGGATTTCTTATGTTTTTACCAACCGTTTTTATATTTTCTAAACCATTCTGATACTTACTGGTATTCCTTGCATAACTGTTAACACCAAATGTATACAACAAGGCTAACATGTCATAGAACACTCGCACAACATTCTTTCCACCAATATGTGCACCAATCTGCATTTCAAATTAGATTGTTAAACTTACTATTTGCGAGATTTTTGCTCAGAAGAACTTAATATAGCTAAATATAGTCTCACCTGACAGCGGAAATATCACTGATTACGCTAACATTAAAAACACTAAGATTTTATGCAGTTATAGCATAGAAAAAGTGCATAACTAAAACAAAAGGGCATGCAATTTTGTGTGGTAAATATTATTGAATTTTTATGTCAATAATTCAGAGCACTTTCTGTCATTGTCATTCCTGTGTTACTATCTGACTGGTAATCCACAAGCTTCTCTAATAACAGACTTAACGCGGCATTAGTACTACACTCCTGTTACGCTAGTATGAACCTGTGTTTACACTGTGACCTGATTTCTGCGGTGCGACTATATGCATTACTGCACCATGATAGATGTCTCGCGCTACCGCAAGAAAGTCCGAGAGATGGCAACGGTAAACATAAACAGAACGCAAAATTGTAATCATGCATGATTTGGTGAATACGAAGGTTCTAAGACATTTTATCGTTACTCTAGACAATTGCTGTTACTCAAGCAATAACGGTAGGTATCATGAAAGTGGACAAAGCACTGGAAAACTCTCGCAATAGTTACTTTAACATATGTCAACAAATCTAGAGCGGGATTGTTGCTCCCGCGAGACCGGAACCCTGTGTCTACAATAGGTTAATTGCCTTTGTATACATTTCGAGATAGCTACCAGTCTATAAATACTTGCATCACATAATTACGCAGACTTGTTTTGTGGGACTGTTTGAACATTGCATTATCCCAAATCTGAAGATAGCAGGTGCACATTTGCTATTTAATTACTGTTTTATAGTCTATAACAGCAAGAACTCCTAATAATTTTTATACTGAAGTAATCAGTAATATGTACGCTGACAGGTGAGTCTAAATTTGTCTAAAGTTATTATTTTATTTTTTATTTATTTGAAAAATAATTGTTTTCAAACCGTATGTACATTACGACTCAAGTGTGATATGTGCAACCAGGGAGCGTGTACATGTCAGTACGCTGGCGTATATCGTGGGTTATTCGTGTGTTCGCGAGTCGTATGGCGTATGTCGCTGGCGGAGGTATGCACTCTCCGTGAGTGCCCTCTGTCTAGTTGTAAATGTATCATATATATGGATGGTGCTATTTGGGTTAGCAACCAGCAGCATTGAGCCTACCTATCTCACGGATACGGGTCTGCAGTGCGCTGCCGAGCAGAAAACTCTCGTCCTTACAAGAACGCTCCACAGTGCCCACATGCTCTGTCGTGGATGCCAGGATACGCTGGCTCTCCTCTATCAGATTGACTCCGCCCATGGCAGCCACGTCGTTGATGTCATCATCATCCCTGCATCAACAAAAACCTGGGTTACCCAAGAGTATCAATCAGGTTTTATCTGCCACTGTTGTGCGTACATGTTATAGGTGGCTTGCACCTTACACTCACATGGATGGACACAATGACGGCGGCCTCAAGCGAGTATAATTTCTTGCAGAATTTTTTGTCCCAAATAAGAATAGTTATACAACTTCTAAATCAAACGAAACTGATCTGTCAGGGCACGATCTCACTGATGTGAAAACATGGATCATGTAGTTTTACACACAAATTAACAACACACAACAACAACAACATTGCCAATGTTATAAATGTGTAATAATACCTGCAGGCAATCTACCATCAGCACCTGTAGACTCACTTACCTGAATGCTGAATGGCCTTTCTCTCTCTGAGGAGCTGAGGCACCTGCTCTCACATGAATACCTGGACGAGGTTTTAGAGCTCCAGCTATCGTTGGCGTTGATGCTGCTATGGACCCTGGCACAAGTTTGGTCATCACCTGCATACAACAAGCCACATTAGCAGAATCAATATTTTTTTAAAGCCTTACAAATTGCCTATCATTACATCTATTAAATGATATTGATAATGGATGGAGATAAAAAATGGTACAGAATCTTTTATCATTTTTCCCCTGTGACATTCAGTACTGCAGACTAACATTCTAACACTTCATCTATGCTAATAATGCGTATCTTCATGCTAATACTTTCTTCAGTGTCTTTACACCATGAGCTATATTCAGCCAAAGAATTGCAACATAAAGTTACACATACTGTCACAATTTGCCAAACAAATTTAGGTAAATAAGATTATATTAAGTTATCAATGAAACAAGACATCCCAATTGTACTTCTATTGACTGCATTTTATCAGGGGTATCCTGAACATAATCCTGAAGATAATTTGCTATTCTTTACCTATAAAATACTATATCTCACACTTACCTGTGATACATTTTTATGTTGGCTATTCAACATATGCTGCTGAGCAATGGCTTGCTGACTGGTCACCTGCCCCGGACGTGTAACCTTGTTCTACAGTGATGGAAATGTGATAACAATTATATAAATTCTCATATCACAAACACTGTATAGAATATACACCACATACAGAGAAGCAAATGAAAGCTAAACAAATAACAGTTACACTAGGAAATCTGAAATTCATGATAGGAAATACTAAGAGTAAGTGATCGCTGCTCACTTTAAACTAAAAACAAAGCCTTTAATATAACACATCGTCCTATTAAGGCTTTTAATTAAACCTTTTCTAAATTTACAACGAATTAGGATAGCAAAGATTTACAAAGTACCAAATCGATGATAAATATTAACCTCTTTGTGACAAAGATAATTTACATACATGTACAGTAGGTGCCGGTAGTGGTGTTGTTTCCACAGCAGGAATGGCAAGTGCAGATGGGGGTGGTGGATTAACACCCTCGATGCTCACTTCATTGTTATACAGCGACTGCCTCAAGTGCGGCAAGCTCCGCTGTTTGAAATCATAATTCGTATTGCAATATCACAATAATAAATAACACGACTAATCACCAGAATCCCCTCAACACGAATAGCGAAGCAAGACATGCGAATATACATGGAAACTTATTCTTAGTTTCTCAAATTTCATTAAAAAATGGCTCATCGGCAAAGATGTGTTGGATCTAGGAACACTAAGGGGTCATTCACAATTATCAACATTTTCACAAGCGTACAAACCGTACGCTGGGGGGGAGGGGGTCAATGCCCGCCGTACGCTTTCAGCATTTCCTAAAAATGTCGATCCATTTCCCGCACCGTGCGCCCCAGCCGGCATCGCAGGCATCCTCACACCGCGACGCGCCGAGCCCTGGCCGGCCTGTGCCCCGCACGGGCCCGTTGACCGAACGAACCGAGCTAGCTAGCTAGCAGCCGAGTGCAGTGTAAACAACCGGCACGATGATAACGATTTATATCCGTGCTCGTTATGACAGGGTTTGCATGTAATTCATATACATGTATTTCTATGTAGAATAGTGTAAAAAAAAATCAACATATTTCTTCGTACACTTTTAGGGGGGAGGAGGGGGTCTCGAAAAAGTGTCCGCTTTGTACACTTGTAAAAATGTTGATAATTGTGAACGACCCCTAAATCAAGCATACAATGCACACATTTTCTGAAATGCTTAGCTGATAATTAATGGTACAATAAAACACAACCAGGCAGAAATTTACTTAGAGTGCGCCTATACTTATACTATATATTTACTCTAACTGAATGGAAAAATGGAAAAAATAACTGTAAACTATCTAGAATGACTAACATCTCTGTGAACTTACTTTTAAGAATGGAACAAGGAAAGGCTGTGGTGAAGATTTAAGCTCAGCTTCTAATTTGGTTGTGAAATCTTCTGGCTGCACTAAACCATCCTAGTGAAAGATATGACAATGCATTATTAAAATTACTGTCAGGCAACATATTTCCATAACCAAGTAATACATGCAAACATTAACAATACACAGAAACATTCACAGAAATGGTAGTTTCCTGACTTTGAACAGAAACAAATATAAATATTATTTTAATTAATATTGTAATGTTAAAATGTAGCTCGCATAATTTTTCTTGTCTTTGTACTTACTATTACTCCCTGTATAAGCTTTCGTACATTAGCAGCAACATCAGGAGGTTGACTAGATGCAAGCTTGATCAGTGTGGAAAAGAAATTTTTGCATTTCTTCTTTGCTACCTCTGGTGACATCTTTGCTGAAACAGTGGCTGAAGGCCCGTGGCTGGAGGAAGCAGTGCCAGATACCAAAGGAGATGAAGATGCCATGGAAACAGTGTGCATCCCTGCTGCCGGAACTGACATTCTTACAGGTGACGTCGTTACTTGTGTCTGAACTGGATGCTGAAGAAATCAAGCATAAGCAATTAACATCTTGTAAAAATGTCAGAAATTATTTTACAGGGGTAGAAATTAACTTTTGAACAAGGGAGTCCAGCTGACTCCCTGCCGACTCCCTGCCCTCAAAAAGAGGGAGTCTGCGGCAAAATGAGGGAGTCCGCAGTCTGAAGTTCAAAACTAAAGATATTAACAATAACGCATACATGTGCTTATTTTGAAGATTCATGCGGTTGCATGTCTGCCAAATTTTCTTTGGACATTTGCTGAAAAAATACGGAAATTTTGCGTGAGTATAATATGGAGGCCATGCTCTGGAACAAACTAGTTAGTATAGCAGAATTTTCAGGGAGTCACACAGACTCCTGCATATATGTCAAATCAGGGAGTCCGACAGTAAATCAGGGAGTACTTATTTGACTCTGGACTCGTGTTCATTTTGCACCCTAATTTTACATAATTGATAATAGATTACTGACAACATTAACTATCCTGTTGTCTATTGATATTGTCTGTTCCCAATAGCTAACAAAAATACTAGTACTATTACACCATTTAGATGTATTTCAAAACAATTGGATATATCTCCATCGCAAACACATTAGTAAAAACTATATCAACCTCCCAGTGTTTCGCCTGGCCAAAAAGGACTGTGAGGTGGGAAATTTTTTTTTTGGTGTGTTTGCGCGTTTCGAGCCCCCCCCCCCAATTTTTTTGTTGTTGAAAAAATGGTGCAATTTGGGTCATTCCAAGTTATCTGAACACATTGTATGAGACTATTCTATTGCATTTCAGTTCAATAAAGTGTAGTTTATTGATTGAAGAACAGTGATTTTCATCAGCGAGGCAATGTTTTGGACAAATTTTTGTGTGGCGAATGAGAATTTGAGCGAGGCAGCCCGCCTCGCTCGTGTCAATGCAGGGGAAACACTGACTCCCCATATAATCTTTATAATATCCTGTCATATTAGAACTAATATGAAATTGTATAAATGTTCAAACCAATTTCAAAATTGTTAGCATGTAGATTACATTACGTAATCTTAGTAGTCGATATTATATCTGTACCAATAGTATTTAAATTTACCATTCCAACAAAATACAAAGCAATGAATATTTAGAATCTTAAAGCGAGAATAATATAATACTTTAGGTGTACTGCAAATTTTCGTTTTAAAGTAGGTTTAAATTAGTAAAAGAATTTATGGTTGAAAATTCATTAAAAATATCCATAAAAAACATTTTTAAACTGTTGAAGAGTGTTTGCTTAGAACGTCTGTAGTGACACTACATGTGCATCTATTCACGAAGTAGTGCTGTGTAAATTTTTAGATACAAGTTAAAGACCGACCCTTGTTATTTATCAATTCAATAGAAAAGAATTGTGATATATTATGTTTTACTATTAGTTTTAATGAGATTATGCATGTATTTGCTTTAAACGAATGTCGCTTAGTTAAATAAGAGTTAGGTATGAATATTAGTGTTGGAAATCAGTCCAACAAAACCGGTTTTACAAAACGACCGATGATCGATTAATCATCGATCATTTTAGATTGCGGCGACGACGCGTCATCGTCGACACAACCGGTGTATTGTAAAGGAATGTTGACATTATTGTTTGTGTAGCTAGTATTTAATGGTAAGTAAATTAAGGATACTGTTAGGGTTACGGATGGGTAAGACTCTAAAGGGCATTGCAACATAACTGCTCATCAAATTCAAACAAACTCATATCCATTACATGAGAGAGATGTCTCTCTATGCTATCAATGAATTTTTATTATTAAAAATTCATCGCTAATTAAGTGACGGCAAAAATTGTGAATTTACACAAAAATGCTTTTTTTGTTATTTCTCAGAAACAGCAGAGTTGGGACCTAAACTTTTAACCATAAGTTGTTCATAATATAAACAAAAAAGGATCCCTGGAATTTTTTTTAAATGCTTTAATTTAGAAAATAAGTTTAAAAGATGTAGGAAAATTTAGGATTAGGCTTGATTTTCAGGAAACAAAGTCGCTTAGTTCCTTGAAAATTTACACCGCACCGTGTTTACTAGTATCAGGAGTAGATAATAGGGAAGGAGTGTGACTTCAAGTTCAATAAATAAGGGAAATTCGTCATTTACTAGCCTTTATAATACCTACGATTTACTACGCGTAACTCATCCAACTTGAGCTCAAATCGTACACAGTACATTCGCCTAGCATCGTGCGAAATCGTTTTCTCGTATACACCCGCAATCCGGAGATATAGACTAAAACACGTACGACACGATTTTCCATTCTGCTGCCAGCAAACTCAATGCGTTTTGCGCCAAAATTTAAACAAAAGGCAGCTACTAACCATAGCTTGCTCTCTCGGCGAGGCGGTGTGGCTCGCAGGGAGATTGGACATCGACGCAACACTCGGCGAGATAACCTTTGACCCCCCATACAGCTACATACCGGCATACCGGCATACAGCTGGTATGCCCCCCACGCACGCACGCCCACCGCAATCTCCCTGCGAGCCACACTGCCTCGCCGAGAGCAAGCTGTGGTTAGTAGCTGCCTTTTGTTTAAATTTCGGCGCAAAACGCATCGAGTTTGCTGGCAGCAGAATGGAAAATCGTGTCGTACGTTTTACTTATATCTCCGGATGCCTGGTGTTTATCGAGAAACGGATTTCGCACGATGCTAGGCCTGAATCTGTACTGTGTACGATTTTGAGCTCAAGTTGGATGAGTTACGCGTAGTAAATCGTAGGTATTATAAGGCTAGTAAATGACGAATTTCCCTTGTTTATTGAAGTCACACTCCTTCCCTATTATATACTCCTGCTAGTATATATGTGTAAATGTATGTACTTGTGTGTCAAATCTAAAAATTAAAAAAAATAAGTTCGAGTTGTACTCGGTCATCCGATCTTCTACTCGATTAATCAACTTGGCAGCCCAAACGAGTAATGATCGACGAACTCGATTAATTAATCGAAACACCACTAATGAATATAATTATTTATTAATTATTTAATTTGTGATTAGCTCAGTTCAAAGTAAAAATTCAAAAGTGTAACTTCATCAGCGTAACATCCCAATCACATCGTGATGACAATTACATAAACTCTGTGATATCTAATAACAAATGCAAATGTCTTATTTAACAGAAATATATATACACATATATACTATTTTTTATGCAATGAGTATCATAATATACTGTCAAATTCTACAGTATTTATCTTTATTAAAAATATGTGTTCGTAGATATTGGATTTTAATGTGTTATCTAGAATAACAAATCATTTTTACAATGCTATCTATAGTCTATACCTGTATAGTTTGTAACCGGTATGCAGTGGATGGAGGATTAGTAGCACTAGATCGTGGCTGTAGTGCAGTGGGCAAGTTTGCAGTTACAAGTTGCAGCTGTCCAGAAGGTGTCCGTACCAGCACACTACCCTGTAGCAAACTTGGCCTCAAATCCATACTCTGCTCACACATAAAACAAAGAAAGGGCATACAATTTAGCAGAAACCGAATTTCATAACACTACTATATCTGCGCATTTCAGTTAAAAGTAAATAGTATAATACCAATGTTCTATATCTAACTAAAATTAAAAAAACTTCAGATCATACATTTTTAAAATATGATAGTATAATGAAAAGTATTTTGCCATCATATGCAATCTTGCATTAACTACACTTGCAACTCAACGGATGCTAGTTACCTGACCACTGACTTGTACCATGTTTGGTCTTTGCACCTGAACACCAGCCGGGCTTGCAATCCTAATGGGAGTACCAGTGTTCAATATCACGCGGGGAGCCAGAGGTTTTTGTTGATTCGACATTCCAGGTCTCGGCATGACATTCATGTTGACAAGCTGCACACCTTGCAACACAGACGCAGGATTCGAGATGGAACCAGATGCAGTTGACGTGTACACTAGCTGCTGACCAGCAGGCTGCGATGAAACTGCCGATACATTAATCACACTCCCGGTTGATAGAGAGTTCTGTACAGACTTCATTAGAGAAGTCGTTGCGGTCGACATCTGTACTACATTCGCACTGTTTGTTGTATCCGCTTTTACTACAGACGGTTGCCCATCTTGTCTTATTACTATCCGTTGTTGTGGCAGATTTGTCGTGATCAAATTCGGACTATGCACAGTTCTCACAGTGGCCTGGCCAGGCATTGTAACAATCTTTGCTTGATGAGCTGCTACAGATGCCAGACTCTGAATTGCACTAAGACCACTATTTACGGTACCATTCACAGTATCACTGCTTGACTGTGTGACAAGCGACATGGTGCCATTCGCATTTTGCACAACAGATATCGTGCCATTTTTAGCAATGATATTTTGTTGCATAGCGTTTTGCACACCCACAGTTGGCAAAGGTGAAGGAGCTATCGTCACTGAAGGCGAACTCCGCGCTGAATTTATTTGTGCACATGTTGTAGACAATGTCAAGTAACCACTAGCTGGAACACCAGCCATTTGTTGTGTACAGTTCAAGGCTGTACCTAGTGAGTTAATTCCTGTTCCTTGTACATTTTGTGGTATGGATTTATTAGTCGCAGCACTGCTTGAAGTAGTACTACCATCAGCCTGAGAATTATTGTTTGGTAAATTAATGATCATGTTTTTCTGGCCTCCTGTTCCCAGTGTAAGAGACCCGCTACCAATAACATTGCCAGAAATATGGTTATTCAATATAACGTTGGCTGAAACTTGCTGTGAACAAGAAGTGACACTTGATGAGGATAACTGGCTTTCTAAAGTCCCAACTAGAGCGTTCACAGCGCTTTCGTCGACTTCAGACGAGAGAACATCTTCTAACGACTTAGACGACGCCATTTTCGACTTGAAACTGACTACCTTTGATGTGAGCATGCGCAGCTTTACTAACCGTTGCGGAGGAAAATGATGAATAACAATAAGAAAATAAATGTAATGTTCACATTTTATCTACAACGGATTATGTATTTATAATAGCAAATAGTAAATTAGTTATTTAATGTAAATTAGAATATATATTACAAAATTGAATATCTAAAAAATAATGAAGTAGCATGCATACCTTCATCGCATAACACGGTGAACCGAAATTTACTTCCAGCAGCGCCGCCTATTGCGCTGATTTTGCAGAACCCGCCATTTGCCACTTTTAGTTTAGCAGGAGTTGTTGTAGCGAATCCAATTTCATCTGTTCGTGGAGGAAAAGCATCACCTCCAACCATGAGTGGAGGAGGGACGCCATACCTTGGCAGTAAAATAAGTCTTATATCAAAATCAGAAATTCGATATGAAGGTATTTTGTACACAATTGATGCTGTCGAGTCAACCGTCGCTCTCGCAAAAGGTAAGTGTTATTGCGACTTGGTGTTTATGTGTGCGCTTCATGAAACAAAGCCTTGCTTGCAGTTTATAAGTAAGCCCAGTACATAAAACGAAGTGCATGTCTTGGAGAATATGGTTGTGCTTGTTGTCTAGCTTTTTAAAGTTTAGTCCTTATGTGTATCGCTGGGAAAGTGTCCGTATTTCAGTCTTTGTCTAGACGACGAGCACCGTCACTTAACGCGGGGCTTGGGCCCAAGTTGAGGGTTGGTTCATCATGTTTCCGCTGGTAGAAATGTGGCACTGGTACATTGTAGGTCTACGTCGCCCGTTATGAAGCAATGTCGCATAATGTTTGGTGTAAAAGGGTTCGGTCCTTTCACGTAACCATGCGTGGCGTCTAAACGAAATGCTTGGCTGTTCACAGTTTCGATGATAGCAGTTGCTCCTGCGACGGTACCGTCGCCGATTATTTTTCTCTTCAACTCACGGTACTGACGGTACTGACGCCTGATTGGTTGAGCTTGTTTTCTTGCGATATACATAGCACATCCAAAATTTTAATTTCAATATGTGGCAGCAGCGCAACGGTTAGTGCGCTTGCCCCAAGTATGAATGGTCGCGGGATCGAATCCCATCCGTTTTCTAATTATTTTCCTGTTTTCTGTATTTTTCTATCTTTATCTGTTTAACATTTCTTTTCCAATTAACGCAAATATTAACATTATTTATTTACAACATTTTAATAACAACAATTAATTTTTACAACAATTAAAAATTAAATTTTATTAATTTAATAGAGTTAGGGTTAGGGTTAGGTTAGGGTTAGGGTTAGGGTTATCGTATATATCGTATAAAATCGTATATATAATATCGTACCAAAAGCAACGGTAGTTATTATTCGCCGATAGATGGCGCTGGCATCACTACCGTGAGTTGAAGAGAAAAAAATTCGGCGACGGTACCGTCGCAGGAGCAACAGCCTTCGATGATAGCAGTTGAGGTAATTTCGAAACAAATAATGCCATTATTGGTGTTTAGTTTTAAACAATAAACCTCCCAGAGCCCTATTTTTCTCTGACGTATAGGTGGTAGTAGCTCCCTTTTCACATGTGGTACCGGTATCTCATAATATAGATGACATATATGGCAAATACTGAGGATACTGTCCATGACTATGAGAATACAATATGCTATTGTCTGAGAGGTAACCCGACCAGGTTGTGTGACTAACGTCAATATACACAGCCTGACATCCATCCATTGGATAATCTTGTACCTCTACAAAACTGCCGAACAATTACGTATATCTCAAATAAAATAATCATCTAAGCATTTCTGCCTTGTTTTGTATCAAGTATAACCTTCACCTTATAGTATTCCAACGTTGTTATTAAAAATAATACCTCAGTTCGCTGTGCACAGTGTAAATTTCAAGAGCCGAACCTAAATTTCACTTTAACTGCCAACCGCCATGTTTCCACTGCGCATGCTTTTCGATCGGAACGCGGAAAACCCGAATCGACATAACATACCATAGAGTTGCAACTAGCGTTGGCGCGAGCATAAATAAGAATCATATACTCGTATATATATCTAAATATTAAAACATTGAAAACCAGGAAACATAATCTACAACAACATAATAATTATCATTGCGAAGATATGTACTTGTCTTGTGTTTGGGCCTACGCACTGTGAAAATCAGGTCCATTGCCGATTTTAGTCGCACCGAAAATGGCGGACAAGGCGGCTGTCTGGTTGTGTTCATCCAATTCATCTCAGAAAGTACGGCTTAACTCGATAAATCAGTAGCGCCCAGTTACCGCAAGCAAGCCAGAGGTTTATAGATTCGTTTGAGCTATTACATGTGACACTAGCTGTGGCGATGTTTGGATACCGAGCCAACTACAAGTTTTTATGGGCAAGAATTTGAAACGATCTCCTAACCCTAGCAAAGAGGCAGAACATATATACTTGCATAACCATAAGTTACCTTCTCGCTTCTCACTGCGTGGTGAGAAGGTCACAAGCGAGTGTAGCGACCGAACATTGTAGCTAACAAAGCGCTGAAACAAAACGTACCAATACTCAACTTCTGGTGGAATTTCTCTGTACTTCCACGCAATTATTAAACTTAAAGGGACAGTAGCCTCTAGGATTTTACTGCATACAACTGTACTTGCTGTATAACAAATCGTCTATACCCACACGTATTTGTTACCAGATACCTAATTTAATTCTTATAATTAATTACACATCAACGCTACGAAATTTGAACGGCGTCATGACACCCGCGACCGTGCTGCCACCCCGAAAAAGTTGCGTATTTGACAATTTATTTTGCACGTTACAGACCGAGGGCTAATCACAAAAGTGCAATTATATTTATACCTAAATGCTATTTAACTGAACGATATTCATTTTAGGGCAAATTTATCCATATTATAACTGAAACTATGTCGTTTATAAGATATTACAATCCTTTTGCTTTTAAATGAATAAATAAGAAACACCCTCGATCTGTAGCCCTTAGCTGGAAAGTGGTTTTGCGCAACTTATCAGATCGTGCGCTTTGAGTGGCGCCACCGTCGTTGTAATCAAACTGTAGTCAGAAAATATTTCTAATGGTGATTGAACCATGAAACTTTTTATGTAGTGTAATTATAACCTAAATTAGCTGAAAATAACCCAAGAACCTAGAGTAAACTCTTCCTTTAACCATAATTATGCATGATATTCCCAAACAGAATAGAAGATAGAACTTCGAACAAGGCAGCTATTAAATTGTTTGAATTTCCATGCACTCACCAGTCGTCTTAGTTCTCGCGCATGCGCAGCAATGCAAGTATAGAGTTTGCCAAATTTCAAAAATAACTCCTTTCCAAATTATCTTATTGTATCCTCGTTCGGGGGTGATACTATGGATTTGGCCTCGTCGCGCCACCGCCGCCGCAGAGATTTCTTTGTGAGCGCTCTACCGGCTGCAGTTCTTCTCGGATCATCTTCAAATTTCGCATGAAGGTGCGCTATCGTAAAGCGAAGACGCCAATCGTTTTTGGTGTGGGCGGAGTCATGGTAACGACATTTTTTGTCGAAATATTCTAGAACCTGTAACTTCTGCAGTTTTTACCCGATTGTCATGAAATTTGGCACACAGGACCAATATATACATATATATATGTTATATCGGCCCTGTGTGCCAAATTCCATGACAATTGGGTAAAAACAGCACAATTTACAGGTTCTACAATATTTCCACAAAAATGTTGTTACCATGGCAACGATGACTCCGCCCACACCAAAAACGATTGGCGTCTTCGCTTTACCATAACGCACCTTCATGCGAAATTACCTTTTTGGCCAGGTGAAACACTGTACATAGTCAGGGTTCTCCAAGAGCACTTATAGCCTGGGGGCGCGCCAGGCTATCGTCGAGCCCCGCCATCCTAAAATGCACCCGCCTCTCTAAATATCATAGCCCCCGGACCCCCCTAGCACGCAAACCGCCTTCCGCGATTTGCAACTAGGACCGTAAAGGCAGCACCCGCCATGCTATAATGGAAAAGCTTGGAGAACCCTGATAGTATACCAGTTGCAGATATGACCATAGTCTTAGTCGCATACTTGGAAAAGCCTAAGCATACAGCAAATATCAAATTTTGTAATTCCTCTGTGCCTGGGGCCCGTTGTCAGAAACAAAATTAGTCTTGACATTAACTTCCACTCGTAAACCGTTGACAGAAACATCACAAAGTTACGAGAATGAAAAATCTTCGAAAATATCCTCTTAACATTACGTGAGCCCAGACCCTCTCGTAACTTTAATATTAAGATGAAAAGAACACATTTACACTACGAATTACAATTATAGTGATATTATATTTTGTAATAATGAATAAAATGTGTTTTTCTTTAAAACCACGTCAAAAACATTAATTATCTACCAATCATAAAACAAAACAAAACATTTACAAATTGCGTATAGCATTTGTTCTCTTGTTTTAATGTTGTTTGCCACTGGCCACGACTCTTGAGTCTCGTGTTACAGTGTGGGAATTTGTCTTGTTGTGCAGAATAAATTCATGATCGCGTCGTTTTTCATCAAATATTATTTATATGTGGTTAGCCATCATAATATGCATATATATTACTGTGATGTACAATAAATGTGTATGAATTTGAATTTTGTGATCGATTCTCATCCAATCATCAGCCTTGTGATGAAGTTCCTGTTCTCGTAAGTTTTCTAATAGTTGCGATGTGTTTCTGTCAACGCTCCTCTCGTAACATTAACATTAGTCGTAAGTGTTGTCTTAGCATTAATATTAGCATTAACTTTACGATGTTTCTGACAACGGCCCCCTGGACATAAACAAACAATCACAGATATAGAAACATTGCGCCAAATCACACGATAGTACATAACCGATCCCTCAGTTAGATACACCGTGGCTGCGCAATAATCAACAGTGGCAATTTTACTACACTAAGTGGCGAATGCAATTGGCGAGTGATTAAACCACTCACAAAATTACGATTTGAAATCGTCAAATTGCAGAGTCATGATGTAAATACTAACCTATACCTATCCCCTGTTTTTGCCTATAGTTTTTCGTTGGTGGCTAAAAAATAACTGGTGGCTCAAGTCTTGGCTCAAACTTTAAAACATACAGAGGGAGCCCTGCACATATGTACATGTTGCTTTACATGCAGAACATATTTTACTGTTTATTGAATCTTTGTAGATCATGGTCTAGGCATAGTTTGTAACAAGAAATATGTTGACATCTTTCTCTAAAATGAAGCTCCTCAACGTTTATATCTGTATCAGAGTTGTCTCAATGAATTTCTGAAGGCATATCATTTACAGGTGGATTGGAAAACATCTTATTGGAAAAATTATTTGCCTTGGGTGTACAAACCTTGATGGAATAGTAATGCATTCCTTGTATTACGGTGTGGCATGTGAACAGACTAAAGCCGAGTTAGACATTTTGTAGGGTAAAGGAACATGTGGTGTAATTCTATTAAAAGCATTTCCTGTAACAAATACTGGACATGTAATATTGTGTAAATTTCAGTTCGTTCATTTGGGACCGAAGATCGGCCAACTGAGAGACCAGTTGCTCCAAGGGAAGAGGTGTATGAGTACATCATCTTTAGAGGCAGTGACATTAAAGATTTGCGTGTTTGTGAACCACCCAAGCCGCAGCCCCAATTGAAATCGGGCTTAGCTCAAGACCCTGCTATTGTACAGGTAAATAGTAACTGATATCGTCTCTGAATTCAGAGTATATCGTAGTTTCAGAATTGTGTGTTCATTTTAAACTACTAGCAGGCTTCACCGTCTGAGAAAACCACGGGGCATAAAAAAGGCCTGTCATTTACTCGACGGGGCTGATTCTTAGCTCGCCTTGACATTGTCAAGATGAGCTATTGCCATCGGGTGTCGTCCGTCGTACGTCCGTCCGTCCGTCAACATTTGGCTACAATCAACGATAACTCAAGAACCGTTTGACCCACATGTTTCAAATTGCATATAGTTGTTACTCCTATGGGAGATGTTTGAACGTCCTATTTTGGAGCACGCCAGTCGACCTACTTTCGAGGCACGTCCACTTTTTGGCAAAAATGAAAGCCATTTCAGTCAGTTAGGTTAAGATTGCCATTTCTTGTAATGTGGACAGAATAAGACCGGCCCCAAAACACATCACACGTTGATTTTTGTTTAATAAGCAAATTAGGTAGATTTAGCAATCACTAGCAGTTGCAGTGCCGCCTATGCAACGATCTAACTCAAGAAGCCGTTTGACCCACATGTTCAAATTGAATACAGCTTTACTCCTATGGGAGAGATTTGAACGCCTATTTTGGAGCACGCCAGTCCCGACCAGTGAAAAATGTTCAAGTAATACGTGAAGGTCACGGTACTGTCATAACAAATAAAATCGTTCAAACCACCATGCTGCTCTATTCACCAAGCTCAATCGCGCAATCCCCTCACAGTGATATCCAATACGTTTCTGTTCCCTTCTTTGCGTTCTGGAAACCCCGATTAACATTAGTTACTTTCAGCTGACCTAGTTAAACACACAATCCCTCCCCTTGCAACGAAGAGAGTCAATTTGACCTTGCAATTCAAATAGAAACCAAATTTACTTAACGAAGTTGTAACACCTGGAAAAATATAGCAATCCACGGTCTGTGTCTAATAATAAAGTGAAATCAACATAGGTTTGTCAGGACTTTGTTATGAAAATAACCTCCTCCATTCCTGTAAACTGTATTCCTAATCCTTATAACACGAGTCATACCAAACTAGCATAACACGCTCTATGTCGCCTTATATCAGTCAACTAAGCAATCCAGACTCTACCAAATCTCAAAACAACCACAAACCGGATAACTCAACTTATAACTCTATACTGTAACTTGTACAACTACTAAACAAACGCGTACTTAGTCAGAATTGCTAACACGTAGTAAGATAGTCACACAACAGATCAAAATTAAACAGAACTATTCATATTCGTAGACGACTAATAGTTCGAATCGTTACTCTACAGAATATCGCTCCTTCAAACAAGTACTAGATATTTTGATATATACAGTAATACTATGATATATACAAGAGCTATAAACCCGCTCGAGTGTACAAACCGAAAAACGGGAAAATAGTCGCATTCACGGCAATATCTATTTCTACTGAGCGTCCATGGGGAGGCATGATACGCCGCAAATAAAGTCGGCCAACGAGTACTCGTAGAAACAAGCGGTTGGTCTTATTTAAGAGCAACGAATGCTGCTTAAGCCGGACACAGGCTAGGCGATCTAGATCGCCGTTCTACCACCTGACGGCGAAGTGCGCGCGGGCCCGTACCGTGCGTGTCATAAGTGTGTGCGGGTGGTGCAGGTACCTGTGCGTAGCGTTGCGGTGCATGTTACACAGTGCGGCAACGCGTGGTGTGCGTGCGTGGCATGTACCTGCGTGCGTGGCTGTGCACGTACAAGTCGGTGCAAAGTGTGTGCGGCGCGCAACGCTGCGTGCGTGCGTGTGGCACGTACATCTCGTCATAAGTGTGTGCTGCGTGGCAGGAACACGTTCGTCATAAGTTGTGCGTGCGGTGCAGGTAGCACGTTCCGTGCTAGGTGTGCGTCCGAGGTGTGCACCCGTACACGTCCTGTCTGCGTGCGTGTGCACGTAGCACTGTGCGTGCAGAAGTTGGGCCGTTGCCGTGCACGTACACGTGCGTGCATAAATGAGTGGCCGTCGCGTGCTGCACGTACACGTGCGTGCATAACTGTGTGCGTGCGTATGTGCACGTACAGTGCTGCATACGTGTGCTGTGCAGGACACGTGTGTGCCGGCGATGTGTGTGCTAGGTACCGGTGCGTGGCGTCATACGTGGCGTGCGTTGCACGTACACGTGCGTGCATGAGTGTGCGGCGTGGGTACGTACCGGAATAGGCGTTCGTCGTATCGGCGGTGCATGTACACGTGATTGCGTGCGGTGCAGGTAGCACTGTGTGGGCGTGCGTGCGACGTGCGGTTGCAGGTACGTGCGTGCGTCGTGCGTGTTGGTGTGCACGTACACTGCGGCAGATGTGTGCGGGGTGTGTACTTACACGTCGTGCGTGCGTGCATGAAACATCGCTATTGACGTCAGTATCATGCACAGCTCTGGTTGGCGATGAATTGTACAATCGCGCGATTTCATCGCCGGCCCCCGGCCCGGACACACTCGGCATTAAATCGGCGCCAAAACGCTCCGATATATCACACGTTTTGATCTTATGCGATCGAAATCGTCGACGCAACTTGGGCGATCTAAAATCGCGGCGATTGAGTGGAACCTATCTAGGCGATTTCCACGGCGATTTGCGCCCGATTTATCGCCTAGTGTGCCGGCCCTTTAAGCATACCAGAACTATCAGAACCGGCATAAACAAAGTATAATAAATATGGCCGTGAAATAGCACTATTTCCCCGTTGCATCACTCTAGGTATTTATTAGCTCCTAATAATATAATAATATTATATAATTTATATATAATATATCAAGAAGCGAATAAAGGCGAGCGTACAAACGGTAAATATCTGAAACCAATGTGCAGTATTAGTAAGTGATGTCACGATCATGATTATACTCGATCATCCGTTGAAACAAGTGGGCTTCGAACAAGCGCTTGTTACAAAAATCCATAACGATTTTCCATCGAAAAAAACAAAATAGATATAGTTTTTAACACCACTGAACAAGAAAACTGAAAAGGTGAGATAGAATCAGAGATATCATCGCTACTATACAGTATCCTTGATTAACATACCATGATTAATACCACAGTAGTAAAGCAGTCGCAAAACAAACAGTAAACAGGGCTAAACAAGCAATCCTACATGCACACACTACATGCGCACGCTGCCGTTACGCACACCAGGCATTCAACACCGCCGAGTACGCCGAGTTAAGCCGATCATCGTTACTTGGTCCAACGATGATGCGATTACGAAATTACAACCGATGGACAACACTAAGTCATTACAGTCGAATTAATAAACTTCCCGTTTTTATTTGCCGATCTTTGCATATTATGATCAGTCTTCCTACCTGTTCATATAAAAGAAACCACATGTGCCTACGATGCCCCTAACGCCTGAGATACTGAGCGTGGCAAATCTGGTATTTCGCCAGTGAGTGTTAACACGACCCCCACGGATTAAACACACGGCATGCCCACACGTCAAACGTGATCGAGATCAGTCAGTACTGTGACGTCTCTCGACCGTAAACTTCGTAAACCCGAGCATGTTTCCCGTCAATGATTCTGTTATGTTGCCGATAAGTGATGACCTCGCACCTGTGCCCGACCTCACGCCGACTATAGTAAACTCGTAGATGACGTAGAGTCGCAGCGCCACTCATGGCGCACACAGCGGAGACCGAGGAAGCAAGCACACGGCACATGCCGTACACTCCGCCACAATCAGAGACCGGTCACCAGTAAACTGACCTAATCTAGTTGGTGTTCGCGAAAATACCAGAATTCACCGCCATTTCCAGCGTAGGGCCATCGTAGGGACACTGCGGTTTGTTTTATATGACAAGTAGGACAGCTGATCAGTAATACTGCAAGAATCGTCCAAAATAACACGGGAAAGTTATTAATCACTAATACTGGGCAACATGTTCAAGCCATTTACCGTGACGCCTCGCTTCTTATATCTCTTGAATCATATTATACAATACTGAATATATGCTGAATCTAAATGTCAGCGAGTCCAAGAAGTCGCCAGAATGCATCTCGAGCTCTAAAATCAAAACGCAGAACCCCCCCCCCCCCACCCTCCCCGCAAAGGCAAAAATTTTGCCACTGCGTAGCGTCAGCGCGCACTCAGCAAAGTAAGGCTGGGAAGATATTTTGAATGCAGTAGATTTCCCAAGGTCACTACCCTGCTGCTAGTGAACATTTAGTTAGTTCTAAGCCCTGTCTGCCCACATTGATCTCACGAATACTGTGCCATAATTAAAAAATATGTTTTCCTCACCCGACCGCCATTCCATAAAGGGGCCAGCTCATAACATTTTTAGCTCACCTTGACATCTCAGTTGAGCTATTAGCCATGCGGTGCCGTCGTCCGTCGTGACGCCTCCGTCAACATTTGGTTTCGTCAACGATAAACTCAGAACCCGTTTGGATCGGCCACAGTTTTGAAATTAGGTGTAGTTTTACTTACTAATGCTCCATAAGGCACGTCGCCTAGTTTGACAGCACGCCAGTTCGAATCGTACTTTCGATGCCACTGCAATTTTTTGGCAAAAATGAGATTGCCCATTAGCAGTTCAGGTTCAACGGATTTGCTCAGTTTGGTATGTAAATAAGGCCCAGGGGTTTGATATTTAAAAAAAATTTATTCAAATCTAGGTAGGTTCTGGCAATTATATAGCATATTATATAAACACCACCCCAATTCCTGTGGTGTCACACTCGTCTGTTCGTACAGATTCATGACAATATCTTATAATGCAAAATGTATTTCTGCTCCACCCTGCTGAATAAAAGTCTATATAGAGTAAAGATTACAACACATGTCGGAACGCAGCCAATAACCATTATTTTCAAGGCACATCGCTAGCCATACACAGGTATAGCCCATCTACGGTCACCAAATGGGATCATGTTGTTTAAATAGTTATGCGTAACGAGCAATCGTTTCTATAATGTAGTCGATGGTGCTCATTAACAACGGACTTCTCT